GTTAGTTGGCATTGCATTTCTTAGGACTTTATTTATGTTTTTCGTTTTGGCAGTTTTCTTTATAAAACGCAATGTTTTGTTATGTGTCTATGCATGACAATGCGAATTGCTCTGACTTTTCAATTTATAGTTGACAAAGTTTAAGAAAATAAATAAATTTGCTAAAATTTTTGTAATTCTTTTTGTTATATTTATTTAATAATATTAAAATGTATATATTTATTTTTATTTATTATTTTACATTTTTATTATATTTATTTATTATGTTTATTAATTTTTTATAATCTTTTTATTTTTTTTCTTGTTTATTATATTTATTAATTTAAATTATAATATTCTTTTTATATTTTTGTATCATATATGCAATACCTCCAAGCGTATTGCTATATATATATAAATATAAGATAGCTGTTCCAGCTGTATTTCAAATATAAAGTCTCTAGCTGCATTACGCTCTTTAACAATATAAATCTTAGACCGATTATAATTTAATATTTATTAATGCTCAACAGACCCAGGCAAATATGTCAATATACCCCCTTAGCTATGCCCACAAGAGCTTGACATGTTGCCAAAACAGGTGACATATAGCCAAAAGCTTAGCATTTGTGCTACTGTTGTCTGACTCCACAAACTGCCCATAAAATGATATTTAAACACTTCTTGGGGGCTTGGCATAGCGCGCAGCTTGTGGCTGGGGAATGCCATATTTTGTAGCCAGATCACATTTCTTATAGCTCTGGCTAATTAGAACTATAAGTTATATGTGGGGCGTGGCAGGTCTGTAAATATAGACATTTGATTAAACTAATCGATGCCTTGTTATATGAGGCAGCGCCTAGTTACGTACGTTTCAATAAATTACAAGAATTTGCTGAAAAAAATATCTGTAAATTTATATAAATTTTCGCCTAGCTTTCTCCTTAAAGATTTTCTATTTAAATTGCATTTGTAACAAATATTTGGTTGAACTGGAAATCAGTTTGCTTAAAGGCAACTCCGATTCTCTGTCATTGAATCCAAGCAAATATCGAGTTTCTAAGCCGAAAGCGATTGCCTCGAGTCTAAGCAGCAAATGAAATTGGATTTGAGGCTTAGTTAATAACTGAATAGCTGACTTTTGCATTTACTGCATACCAATTAAATTGTTTTGCCTCTAATTAGTAAACTGAGCAACGTATACAAACTGAATGTTGACACAGCACAGACAAACACATGTCGTTGCCAGATGAAAACCGAGATGAATAAAGATGAATAAGTGCGTAGGGCATTTCAATTAAACGATATGCGCCTTAAATATGAACCTCCAGTAGTTTGCTTCGGCTGTGGCCTTGATGTGGTTAGCCTGTTGCGCTGTTGGCCGGGCCAACCAGCAACAAAGCTGCTTAGATAATCTGTCAGTCGCAGCGCTGGCGAATGCGGCGTATGCGTAATTTCATCAGCTGGCGCTTGAATCAACTTAGAGCTTGAGGAAATTATAAGCCGACTGAAGTGGGCGCGCTGTCTTATGGCTAAGAGTCGAGGAGTCGACGAGGCGAAGGGTCCTTTAAGTGTCTTTAAGTTCATTTTATATTTTTGCATTTTCAATTCGCAAAGCTGCGGTTTGGGTAGCCATGATAAATTCTCCTACAGCTAGGCAAAGCAGTTGGATAAGTGTGTGTGAGTGTGTCTGTGTGTGTGTGTGTGTGTATACTGTGCTCTGCGGCTAGAAAAACTTTGAATCTACAAGCAGCCACAACTTTTGCGCGGCGACATTTCCTCTGGGTCTTGGCAGCAAATTATGCGGCGGGCCAGGCAGTCAGTCAGGCAGTCAGTTAGGCAGTCTGCCAGGCAGTCAGCACCTGCTGCTATATCTTGGCCGCTTCACGCCTTGATCTAAAGTGAGCGATGGCTGCGTGTAGTCGTTGCCTTGCTGCGGCTGTCACATTATGCTCGTCCGACAATTTGTATAGCGGCAGTAATTTATGTATTGCCTAAAACATATCCATCAATCGCATAGACTCATGCAAATTGTTACCTTGCGTGGCGTGCTCGTAGCCTGCATTAGCATTTGCATTTGCATTCGTATTAAGTACATTTGTTGTGTTGCGCGTTTGTCTGCCACTGTTATTACAACAAGTCGCACTATGGCGCACTCTGTGGCAGGATTATTACAATTTATCAAATCTACAAAGTGGATGTGACACAGGTGGATCGAGAGTCGAGTTCAGTTGAATTTTACTTAAACATTTGTTTGTGTATGGAAGTTAGAAAGAAGATGCACATGAGAGCTTAGAGCATTATGAATGAGTCTCTGTAGTATTTTGTGTGCTTGCCTGAGTCTCGGCAACTTATTAATTTAATTCATATAATTTAAAGTGAAATTCATTAAAATACTTTATTCAATCACAGAATTAAATGCTAAAGGCTAGCAAGAAAAAAAACTGCTGTCAACTGGCTTTGAATATCTAGTAAAATTACTTACTTAAGTTCATTCAAAATTCAAGTCAAAGAAATTAAAGCAATTTAAAATTGAACTGGATTTTGCAGCTTTAAAACTGAAAATATGTATTAGAAATACTTTTTATAATTGAGATAGGTTTTTGAGTATTAAAACCAGAGTCAATTAAGCTAAAATAAATGAAATTTGAGCTGCTTTTTTTAAGCCAAAGAACTAGTTATAAATAGCTGTAAAATAGCTCTAAATAACATATGTAAAATACATTTCCTTCACTCAAAAATTGCACTGCTGTTAACTGTTTTTTAGCTGCTTTTAGCCCAGTTAAATTTTACAAATTTGCGCATTATGCATTTGAGCGTGTAATGGGAATGCAATTAAATAAATGACAATATGCATGTCGTTGCATGCACTGTTGCAGTGTTGCAATGTTGCACGATGTCAAAGTTCAAATGATGAGTTCATCAAATGTCGTGGCGCACACAAAGCGACACTTGAAAACAAAGCGCAAATACACTCAACGACAGACGACTCAAGTGCATTGTCTGCAGCTCTGTGTGTGTGTGTGTGTGTGTGTGTGTCTCTGTGTGTGTGTGATAAACATAAACGCTACATGGGGTCGCTCTGTTGCAAGCACGAATATTGCCAGCAGCTGAGTTGTTACTTCTTTTAATAAAGAGTTTAGACATGTGAGTTTTTGGGTGACTCGGGCAGGGAAGTATTCAGCACCCGCTGATGCTATGACAAACCGTTACATGTGACACTACATTAGATTGTTGTACAAGTTGCAAGTTTTTACTCACTTTTTGGTTGCTGGCAAGTCACTGCCTATGCAGGTGCATAAGTAATGGGTTTTTCACTAGCTTTTTTGTTGCTCTGCTGGGCTTTGTGTTGCGGACAAATGCCCCTTGGTGTGGCGTGTGTCGTGTGGCGTGTGGCACGTTGCTCTTGATGATGTGTCTATGTCAGGGCTGTGGGGTTACGTCTCTTGCTCTCCCTCCCTCCCTGCCTGCCCCTCTTTCTGTCTCTGTGACCGTCGGCTGCATTCATTTGACCATAAACTAGCTTTGCAGCGCCACAATCAGCCCGCAGTGTATGCAACAACTGTTTGGCTGCCACTCTAAGCCCTCTGCTAACTGCTGACTGCTGATTGTTGCCTGTTAGCCGTTGTTTGTGCCAACTGTCAAATGTAGCCAGGTAGCGCTTTACTTAAAGCATTGCCATTGTCAGTGCACCTCTGCTGAGTCCATTATCCTCAGCGCAGGTGTGCGTCTCCGTCTCCTTCTGCGTGTGCGTGTGTGGGTGTTAATGCTAGCGGAAGTGCACTTCATTTAATTAATACGCTTATAATAGCGCACTATATATAGATATATGTGTGTGCTGCTGTTTGCTTTGGTTGCATGCAACAGCGGCCATTTATTAACGTACTTTGCTTGAATATCACTCGAGCCGACAGGTCTTCTACCTGATTGTTGTGCCAATACAAATGTGCCTTAAAGTACACATATTTGCATGCTAAGTGGATGGAGTTCATAACCTCTCGAGTGACTTCTGTTAGCCTGGCTGAGATATGAGCAAAATGACGTATTAAATGTTACCTGCAGCTCTGTTGTATTGAGGTAGATTTGTAGAATAGTGGACTTGCTTTTGCCATCTGCTTTTCGGCATTTCTTTTTCTATCACTCTCTCCCTCACTCTCTCTCTATCTCTCTTGCTCACATTCTGACTTGGCATGTTTTTGGCTCTCACTTTACATTTCTTTAACCATTTATGATTCTCTACTCTCGCTTTCTCTCTCTATTTCATTCTCTATAAGTTTCTATCCAAGTTCCTCTTTTTCTTTGTATTTCTCTCTATATCTATATATATTTCATTTATCTCTTTATCAATATATCTATATATCTCACTCTATATTTGTCTATATATCTATCTCTATCTCCATATTTCTCTGTCGCCTTCTCTAACTGTCTCTTGCCCTCTCTCATACTTTAATCTGTCTCTGGCTCTCTCTTCCTCTTCTTCTATCTCTCTTGTCTCCGTTTAGCTCTCTCACTTTATATCACTTTCACTTTTCTCTCGCCCAATCTGTCATTCTCACTATTTAGTTTTCTCTCCCGCTTTCACTCTCTTATTTTTTGTTTTATGCTCTCATCTCTTTCTGTTCCACTCTCCCTCTTCCCCTTCCTTTCTCTCTCTCTTTCTTTATCTTACATTTTTCAAGTCTCCTTCACTCCGTCCATTCCCTTTTCTATCTTTCTCTTTCCCTTCGATTCTATCTAATTCTTTCGTTCTCTCTTTCTCTTTCTCGTTTAAATTTAGCTCTCTCTCTACCTCTCTCTATCTATCTGTCTACCTCTCTCTTTGCCTCTTTCTCTACCTCTCTCTCTCTGACTCTCTGTCCTGTGCTTGAATCTCTCACTCTCTCTGTCTGTCTCCGCCCCTTACTCTCTCACAATCTTTGGTTTCCCTCACTCCCACTTTATCTATGCGTCTCGCTCACGCCCTTCGACTCTCGCTCGCTCCATACGTAACGAAATCTGTTCTAACTTAACATAGGAAACGTAGCTAGTTTCTATGGACTGTCATAACAGTTAACATAATCACAATATATATTCAACGAACAGACACAACTATAAAAGCGATTTGTAAGTGCAAGCAGGAGACGCGTTGCGACGAGTCCGAGTTCTATTTAATCTATATTGCCTCCATTGCCAGCAGTATTCAAGCACAACATTCAACATGTCGTCCGGCTCATCCAATATCGATCCCAGCGAGTTCAATGAGGCCAGTGTGAGTGCGGTCGACGCGCACATTGGCCCCCAGAATGCAGTGCAGGAGATGCCGCCGACCGAGATGCCGAGAACAACGCCGCGATCGGTCCATTCGCGTGGCTCCAATGGGCATGGACGGCGGTTGCGGCAGCGTGTGTCGACGCCATCGATCGGCACTCAGTATCGCATCTGGGTCTATCAGCCGATATATGAGCCACACCCGAATCGACACACGCTCAATCGCATCATATTCTCGATAGCTCGAGCCTTGCGCACTCGTCGCTCGGTGCCGGCCCAGCCAGGTCAGCATCCGGGCGTCATCTACAGACGCAACGCGGACCTGATAACCATTGATGTTGAGCGGGAATAAGTGCTAGTGATCTAAGAAATATACTAACTGACAAAGCTACTCTGCCGGTATGGACGTGGCTAGCATGACGAGTAAGTTTTTAGGCCTGATCGCGTCGGGGTCTAATAGTAATCGGAATCCTTGAACCTTAGATTTACACAGATAGCAGATATAATAGAAAAATTATTAGACGGTAATTCGGATAAACAAATATTCAAGAAGCAGACGATTTCGAGGAGGTTTTCACATGTCAAGATCGCAGTCAAGTGAGCGCTTTATATATATATCATCTAGCTACAGCATGCATCGCCTATGGTGTTCCAGCGATAAAGGCCCACAGCAGCAAGTTAGTTCGGAACATGGAAACGCCTGTCGAAGATTATATATTCATTATAATTATTTGTTTAAAGCTGAAAAGAGAAAAAAAATCAGTTCAAATATTGTTTCTGTCTATTGCCAAATAATTATAAAAAAAATCACCTCCAGCACAAATAAATGTTGCACAAAGATTTTTTAATGGGGAGACTTGCAGAGTTCAAGCTGTAGTCAAGGCTGTTTTATCGCTTTCAAATTTAATTAAGAACTTTTTTATAATACCCTGTACTCAGGGGAAATGGCTAGTAGGGCTTGATGAATTTGCTAAGAGCTCTGTAATTGGCAGTGGAAAGCGGGGCAGACTTATGTCTATATATATATAGACTTATGTCTACTATATATATATTCTTGATCAGGACGACAAATGGAGTCAAGTGAGCGGAGCGATCTAAGAATATATATGTTTACATGTATATTTGAATACTTGGGTAGACTATCGTGCGAGGTATATATAGTCATAACCATCTGTTTGTATGGCTAACATGGCGAGTATGTCTATATCTTTGCTTGCCTGTGATAGACTTGGATCTGTCTCTCTCTATGCCTCTATATGTCTGTCTGTTTCTGTTTCTCTTTTTATCTCTCTCTATATCTCTCTCTCTCTCTCTCTCTCTCTATCTATATAGCTCTATACGTCTCTAGGTCTGCATATCTTTCTGTCTCTCTCTACGCCTCTCTCTATATCTTTCTATGTCTCACTGTCTGTCTCTCTCTATTTCTTTCTGTCTGTTTCTCTGTCTGTCTCTCTCTATGTCTTTCTATGTCTCACTGCCTGTCTCTCAGTCTGTCTCTCTGTCTGTTTCGCTCTCAGCCTCTCATTGATAATAAATTGAAATTTCTTTTTGGTTTTTTATGCAAAGCTTATATTACTATTAAAATTAAAAAATGCTAAATTCAGACTCAGATTTCACGTCCATGCAAATGGATTTGTCATACCCCCAAACAGTATATATTAAACACAGTTTTAAGTAAAGTTTCTTGACCTTTCTTTGGCTGCAGTCGCCAGAGAGAGGCAGCAGTGTGAAGAAGAAGCAGTTGTGTGTGTATTCATATAAATGTTTTTCTTGTATAGAAAAAAAGCTAAAGAGCTTCAAAAACAAGCTCTGGGTATTTGGTAGTCAGGCATACCCGCCAACTGCCTGTCAACATTTCTTCAATTCGTCTTAAAAATATCTATGCGCTGTAATTTGATTTTGTTTGGTAAATTTTGTACTAATTGGTATTACAAATGGCATTGCCCCAATCAACATTTGACACATATTTGTCAGATTGAATTACATCAAGAAGAAGCAGCAGCAGCAGCAGAAGAAGAGGAAGCTGAGTAGTATAATGAAGGCACATCAAATTTCAGCATTATTTAATCGAGCTAATTACGCAGCTGTTGTACAAATCAAATGGAACACAAGTTGCAACATGTGGCACATACACACACACACAGCACACACAATATCAATTATACAATTAGAATTTCAGATGGTAATAAACATTTCGTAATGTGGTAAAGCAGCTTCTCCTCCTCCTCCTTCTTGCGAGTCACTTTAACTAATGCACTACAAATTTTTATTTGTGGAGTCGTCGCTCGTCGAAGCCATTAAAAGTTATTGCTGTTAATAACCAATTAAAGTGCAAAAATAAACATCAATTATCGGGCCTGATATGCTGCGACCGAGTGGAGCGAAATTTTGTGTAAAAAGCTGAACTCAACTTTCAGCTGTGGCATGCAACTTTTACTGTGCCGCCCATGCATATGTGTATGTGGCATGTTTGAAATTTATGCACATTGTTGCACAACATATGGCAGCAGTGAACGTGGCACTGACTCTGGCATAAGTAATCAAGCTGAACTCCAACTGCCACCCACACCGCCCCACAACTGCCACAAGGTGGCAACTAAGCACTATTGGCCATTTGCTGGACCAACTTTCAATGTGCAACTGCCAAGTAAATGCATGATAAATGTTTTTCAACTAAGTGTGTGCGCGTGTGTGTCTTAAGCTGCTCTTAGAAACGATGGCAACATATAGACATATGCTAAGTGTTGCAACTGTGTGTACTTTGTCCCTTACCCAACACCATGGGAGAAATTCTGTTTGCTAGCTGCAAATACACATGTGCGCACAGATCAATCTGTGTATTTGGTATAAAAACGTTTTCTGTTACATAACAGTGAGTACTTAACATGCTTAACAGAAACATGTTAAGCTGTTAAGCCTAGTGTTAAGTTAGAGTCGTAGCATATGGCCTTAAAATAAGTCACTTTCAACTGAATTTACCATTAACTTATAGCTGTGCATATATATTACATCTGCTTAACAGCTGTTAACTTAACAGTTTGCTTGTAAGATTAAGGTCTTCACTTTAACTGTGAGAAGCTTTAGTTCAAAGGTTACTGCAAGTAGTTAAATCTGCTTAACAGCTGTTAACTTAACATTATATTCTGTTATACTTACTTAACAGTAAGTTAACTTAAGACTCTTTGCAAGTTAACGAAAAGTGGCTAACAGCTGTTAACACTCTGTTAAGTTCATTTCACAGCATTGAATATAAGAATATATAAGAAAGCTTGATATCTACTCTACCAAAAGCTGTTAACATTACAGTTACTGCTTGCAGAACAGAACTTCACAGCTGTTCTTAGAGCAGCTACTGCTTGCAGCTCAAATGTGCCTTACCTTGCCTAACCCTAGCTTCTGTTTATTGGCATGAACTACTCCAGTTCGCCTTTACAGCTGTTACTTAACATTCGTTGAGTTAACAGATATTTTATATGTGTTAAGAACTATTTATCAACTGTTAAGTTAAGCTAACTAGCTGCTGTGTAGATAGAGGGCATTTGCATGAGGTATGCTTTACAGCTTTACAATTATTTCACAGCAACAGCAGCTTGACATATGTCAACTGCAGATAGCTGAAGAAGTCAAAGTGCACTTAGCGCCTGCTCCCACAGCAGATCAGCTGCACAGTGCTTTGCTTAATAGCTAGTGGTAAGATTAACAACACTTAACTTAACAGTTCCCGTTGCTGCTGTTAACATAGAATATACTACATTCTATGTTAAGCCACCTTTACAGCTGTTAGCTTGAGAGCTACTGCTAGTTTGCTATGCTATTGAGAGAGTGAGTTAGCAGTTGTTGTTTCGCTCCACTGTGGTTCAATGCAGCTACCTGAACGACTGTGTCTGCGAAATCGAGCATAAGTCACACCTTGAGGCATTCTCTGAAACAAGTGCACTTTAATATTATACACGTATCTAATAGATATGCTCCAGCATCTGCAAGTGTCCTTCAAGCGTTTGCTTTAATTGACGTGCAGTGGGAATTTCCAGCTCTATCGTAGCCCCTTTTTCAGGCAGCTCGAGAGCAAACTTTGTGCTTGTGCTTGTGCTTTAACAAGTGCTTTTTGTGTAAATTTTGGACAGTTTTTTGCCTTTGCCTTTGCCTTTGCCTTAGCCTTTGCTTTTTTGGGGCAAGGCGTTTCCAACAAACTTTTGCTGCAAGTCAAACACGCTAAGGACACGAAATTGTCAAGGTGCGTCCTCCGAGCAGGCGAGCAGGTCGACTACACAATCGTACACTGCTCGAAAATGCTGCACACATACGAGATCTTTATGACATTTATGGCAGTGTCGTCGCTGGTGTCTGTAGACCAAACTTCTCAAGTTACGCATACGCCGCGTGGGCCGAGCTGACAGAAAGTTTACTAAATGCTTCCACTCGCAACAGACCAAACGACAATCTAAACAGATTATATTCATTTTCCTAAAACGACATTTTAGTGGAAAACTTGAGTGTTCCTATGAAATGGACTAGAATTACGAGCTGACAGATGAATTCCTGTAGATACACATCTCAGCTATGCTATGCCTTTGCTTATTACATATAAAGTAAGTGCGGGAGTTCTGCCTGCAAGGTATATCTATCTCTATATAATTCTCATTTAACTAATTTGCTTGTTGAGCTGCCTTGAACTGACTCAAGGCGCCCTAAGGCTAGTCAAGTGCAACATTTAGTGAGCAGCAAACTTCAAGCTTCAACTGTGAACTGAAGTTGTGAAACTTGACAATGTTGTTATGAGGTGAGCTTTGCTAGAATTGTCTGCATATTTGCTACATATACTCGTGGCATGCGACTAATCATATTCAAGAGCGGATCTAAAAGGCCTTCTAAAAGTACTTTGCTATATGAGCAGAGTTAACGCTCAATAAGGCAACTGAAGAGCTGAGATTTAGGTGTGATGAGAGCTCGTATAAGAGCTGAAATTGATAGTTATGTTGAGGTGTAATGGCACTGCTAACGTCAATGATAGTAATAATGATAATTTTGGAACAGCTTCCAGCTTTACTTCAGCTTGTCCTTTTATAGGGACTCCGTTTGTTAGCTTCCTTAGCAGTATTCGTTGTCTTGAAGTCAGTATTTATTGGTACGTATAGATAGCCTGTTTCTATCGGAACCGCAAACTGACCCTGAACCTGAACCTGAACCTAAACCAGGACCAGAACCTGAACCAGACTGAACCCGAACCTGAATCAGCAACTGAACCTGAACCTGAACCTGAAACTGAACCTGAAAATGAACCTGAACCTGAAACTGAACCTGAAAATGAACCTGAACCTGAACCTAAACCTAAACCTGAACCTGAATCTGAATCTGAATCTTAATCTTAATCTGCACCTGAATCTGAACCTGAACCTGAACCTGAACCTGAAGTTGAAGCTGAAGTTGAACCTGAAGTTTAAGCTGAACCTGAACCTGAACCTGAACCTGAACCTGAACCTGAACCTGAACCTGAACCTGAACCTGAACCTGAACCTGAACCTGAACCGGAACCTGAACCGGAACCTGAATCTGAACCTGAACCTGAACCTGAACCTGAATCGTAATCTCAGCCTCCATCTGAAACTCAATCTGAACCTGAACCTGAAGTTGAAGCTGAAGCTGAACCTTAATCTTAACCTGAATCTTAATCTGAACCTCAATCTGAACCTGATGCTGAACCTGAAGCTTAACCTGAAGCTGAAGCTTGACCTGAAGCTGAACCTGAAGCTGAAGCTGAACCTGA